CAGACTTCCTCATCATGTAGGAACCGTGTTGTCTCCAAAATCATCTCCAAATTGACCCGACTTCCTCAACGAGAAGGAACATCATCATCTTCAACAAACAATTTACCTGAAAGCGACCAGATCTCTTCAACATGGATGAGCAATGTTGTCTTTAATATCAAATTTCAAAGAAAAAGAGAGATCCGGACAAAAGCTTGTTGTCTTTGCCCTATTCTTGTTAACAGAAGAATGGGCAAAGAGGGCAGTTGTAGATACCCGTTTTTGTCTGGGTTTTAATTGTCTATTATTATTAATTATTATTATTATTATTATTATTATTATTATTATTATTTCATGTTACAATTCGGGCCCAAAATGTAACCTAACAACGAGGCCCAAACAGCCAACCCAACAACATACAAGCCCACCCGATCCAAGCCCAAAAGGAAGCAAGCCCATTTGACAAACCCAAACATATTAGGGTTTTCACCCTAAGGCTTTACAGCCACTGCCGCCATAATCAACAGAAGATGGACTATCCATCGCCGGCGCGTGTGGTACACACGCCTGACTGCTCGCCTCCTCAGCCGCGTGAGCCACCACCACCAACATCCAGAGCCACCGTCGTTATCAAAACATACCACACAGTAACCAATCAACCAAATTAGTTCAATATCTTACCAAACCCGAAACCCATAAAAAATGATTATATCCCATTAAATCTGGGATATTACTCAGAAAAATATCCCTACCCACAGACCTAATAATTGCTACCCAAATAACACAATAAAATCAAGCATGCAGTAACCAGAGGGAGAGTTTTTTCGGTGAGAGAAAAACGGAGAAAAAATCGAGCTAAAAAAACCCAACCATATTCGAACCAAAAAAAAAACTAAAGTGAAAAAAACTAAAAATGAAACGGGAAAAAGCTTGAAAATGCTACCCTTGTACTTAACCATTACCGCTGTTGTTCACTCACCAGGGTCAGGGAGGCTTCTAGGTCATCAAAGGTCGTTTCTTTACCCTGAGGTTGTTGGTTTTAGGCGATTTGGTGAGAGTTGTAGAGGTTCTTTTGGGTTTTAGGTTTCGATGGATTTCGGTTCATAGAAGCCATTAGATGGCTTTTCCTTTTGTAATGGCCACCGATCTACGGTGGTCGGAGGGGTGGTAGTTCATCTTCCTCGGTGGGGGAGAAAAGAAAAATGAGTGAGTTTTCACTCTCTCTACAAATAAAAGAAAGGGTGAATGAGAAAATGAAAAAAGATGGTCGGTTATGGCCTTGCTTTTAGCCATATATATCACCTTTGAAACGACGTAGTTTCAGAAAGGGGTAGTTTTGTATTTTCGTGCATGGGGTAATAACTAGTTCAGTCCTTATGATTTTGTAATCTTACCTTCTGGCCATTAATTGAAGTGTTACATTATTTTGTTTCAAGCTCTTATATGTCAATGTTTATATTTAAGTTATCATCATATATGTTATGCCATTTTGTTAATGTTTGACTCTGGTCATGATGTTTGTAAATGTTTCATTTCAATCATCTCTTTGTATATTGTTGATTTTAGGTATAATTTTTATTTACCCTTACGAATTCCTGGTTTGTTTTATTTTGGCCATGCTTGTTGCTTTGGGATTTATTTATGTTGTAGTACTCAGGTTACATGATATTTATTATATGTTTATTATTATACCTCTAAAGTTGTTGTCCTTGCTATTTAATCCTTATTTACTAGATATGATCAAATTCTTTTATTCATATTTTAGTTTATCATGTTTGTTTATTTACATTTTAGTCCAAATTTGTAACTTTTTTTTATTTCCAGTTATAATTTCATGTATGTATATATATATATATATATATATATATATATATATATATATATATATATATATATATATATATATATATATATAAACCATTGTTGTTAGCCTTATTTGTATGAAATGTTTTATTCTATGCATTTTATTATGCACATATTTATTTATATATTTCAATTTATACATTTTATTATGGTTCCTTTACATATTTAAATATATATTTATTTTTAGTTAATACTCCTCTACTTCTATCACTCGAATGTTTTTTCAAGAACATTTATTTGTAGAATGGGCATAGAAAGCACCGCTTGATCGAATCAATGTGATCCGATACGATATTCAAACGAATCGTGAACTTGAATTAAATCGATTTTTTAAATAATGATCATGCAAATTCCGATATTATTTTTTCTAAATAATTTAATATTTTTTAAAAAAGAGAAAATATTCTTTTACAAATGAGAAATAGTGAGATAACTTTCCCGATGGAGGATTGCAAATCTCGAGATTTCTTTTCAAGTTAAAGAATTTTCTCTGATAATTAATTCGGAATAAATTAATTATTATCCAATAAATGGATCATACTTTAATATCGATACGAATTCACAATTTCCACCATTTACGATACTATGTAAGCAACTAAGTACCAATTGTGGGCGTTGTGGGAGTGCTAATCATTCCCCATACGTAATCGACTCTTGGACCTATTAAATCAGATTTTTGGTAAACGCAGACTAATTTTTGTCTTAAAAAACGATTTTCCTTAAAATTGTTTTAAAAGACGTTTTTAGGTATTCGACTTACCTAACCCAAAGGTCGATGGAGACTCTCATTCAATTTAATTCAAATTAATTCAAAATTCACCAATTTTCCAAACAAAAGGCATAACTATTTTTTTAAATGATATTAAATTGTTTGAAGGTTGGATGTTTTGAAATTTTGAAGTTTTGAAATTTTGAAGTTTTGAAAGTCCAAAACTAGTGAAGGTGACAACAAATGACATAACTATTTGTTTAAATGACATAACAATTTTCCAAATAAAAATCGCCAATTTAAATATTGACATTTATGTCCTCTGTTTCCTTTATGTTCATCTCATCCAGTTAGTGGCCTGCTATTATCTTGTCGTCGAATGAAAGTTTGAAGGTTGGATGTTTTGAAATTTTGAAGTTTTGAAAGTCCAAAACTAGTGAATGTGACAACAAATGTAGATGGTGGTCGGAGAGTTACTCTGGTAGTGTGGGTCTATTTTATTTAAAGAATAAGTGTGGACGTACCTTTACTCTCTGTTGCATGGCTATTTATAATGTCTTGGACAGGTGCCGATTGAGAGTTTTCATTGCATTGATACTAATTGGACGTCCATGGAAGTGATGACTTAGACCAATTTACCATCAAAAGAGACAACATGTATCAATACGTGGTCTCTGGTGATCATACGTGAGATATGTTTGCAGGAGTAGTAGGTGACATGATCATTGTTGGTTGTTTGCGAGTACACTCAAGTTTAGTGGTTTGCACAAGTCGTATATTCGCATATCCGGAGGTTCGTGGAGCTAGGGGCTCACAAGTAGTAACTAAAATAATAAACAAAAGAATAATAAATACTATTAAATAATAATAATTAATAATAAAAAATAAATATTCTAGTCTATTCTATTTATTATTTACAAACCTTTTTACATTAACCCATTACCCATTTACCACAATCCCATTACACTCGAGCGTAACCCAAATTTGTCGAAGTCCCTTCGAGCCCAATGCAGACCAAAGCTTAGTAGATCCTATCAAGTCCAATCGTTTAGGGTTTGGGAGAAACCCTAAACTAGCAACCAAGTTTATGTCAGGTCTAGTCTAGAGAAGTGGGTACCAAGTTGCACACGATTATATTGCATAGAGTAAGTTTGGGCCTCTTCCACGTGCTCCAGGTTAGATCTCAAGTGCCGCTCCTCCGAACGCGTCAACCACATCAGTAGTAGCAGTAGAATTGAACAAGAACTCTCATTTTTTTTGTGAATTAAAGAAAAGGGCTTCAGTGCTCAGTTATCCCATGTTTCTTCTTCCTGGATCAGCTTTGTCACATCCGGTGGTGGGCTGGTTAACCAGTGCACGTCTAGGTCTGTTGGTTTCGAATATTTGGCAAGCAGGTCGGCGACTCTGTTGGTGTTCCTCGGTGCATGATGGTAGCACACAGTCCATTCCCTTGTTTCCATTTCTCTGATATGCAGTAAGATGTGCAGTAAGATGTTCCACGTACAAGAACTCTCATTTTGAGAGTTATCTTTTCTGACTTTTATGAGTATTCTTTGTTTTAATTTTATCCATGCCTTAGTTTTATTTATTACTATTTTTTTGTTGATATATGTTACTTTATTCAATTTAATCTCTGCATTATTTTTATTTGTGGCTTACACCTTGCATTCATTTTATTTTGGTTCTTGCTTTAGATCATACATTATACATGTATATATTATTTGTATTATACTAATATTTTATAGTATATATTATAATTATATTTAATTATTATATATTATAATTAACTTTGAATTCATAATTTTCTATTAATTAAAACAACAACATAATCAACTAGGTATCGAAAGAGCATTATAGGGTGCTAATTATTTCTCCCACATAATTGACTCCTAGATCCATTTTTATTGTAAACATACTTTAATTTATTGTTTTAATTTAACTAAAATGATAGATTTTTGAGGGATCTAATTCGATCTTAATAAAGATTGACAACAACTATCTCAAACTTTATTTAACATTCACTCGAAGCAAAACTTAAAAGAGGATTTACCTCTCGTTTTTTAATACGTTTCGACAAAAGACATCATCATATTCGCTATATTTGAGATTCCTAATGGAGATTACTTGAAAAGAAGTTTTTTTCGAAAGTTAATTTGGACACAAAGGAAAGGAATTAAAAAGTGAAGAGGAGAGAAGACACAAAAGTGAAGCAAAGAAGTCTTGTGGAGATAGAAAAACCCAATCCAAAAATAAAGAATAACAAAAATATGTGGATCATTATTAAATCAAAACGAAAAATTTTCATTTTCAGACTATTATAATCTACTTTTTCCATCATTTCTGGTCACATTTAACCAACTTTCTATAACTTGACATCAGTTTAATTGTAAAATTATTTTTTTTCGAAGATTTAAAATCAAAATAGGAATTCATTTAAAAACTAAAAAAAGAATAGTTTGAAGAAACAAAGGAGTGACCGACGTTTTCATAGTTTACTTACAGAGGCAAGACAGATACCTTGGACTCCTCATGGTGCTTTATCTCCTTTCCTTTACAAATAAAGACGCGTCGTTTGGTGTTGAAAAAGCTCATTTCTCTTCTTCTTCCGGGTTTTGGTCTGTCTTTGTCGCTTCTCTCTCCTTCCCGTTGTGTCCCATCTTCTTCGAAATTTTACAATTTGAACAAAAACCCTTGGGAAAAAGCAAAAGGTTTTCAAATTCGTAGAGACACAGGGAAGGAGAGATTGATTGTTCCTGATTGTTGTTGGGGATGATGGATCTAAGGAGATTAGCGTTGGTGGTTGTGACTGTGGCGGCGATGGCGGTGGGTGAACTCAGTTCTGGTTGTTTGGGGAACGAGTTGACTTTAAATGTTAAACGTAAATTTGCAGGCCGGGGAGAGGATTTAAGTGCAATGAGAGCTCATGATATTCGTCGTCATGGTAGGCTTCTCTCGACTATCGCTGTGGATCTCCCTTTAGGTGGCAATGGTCACCCTTCTGAAACTGGGTTAGCTTTTTAATTATTTTTTATACATCTTTTGTTTGTATTTCTGTGTTTCTTGGTTGGGTTTATATTTTCCTGGATTATTTTTGGTTCTGTGTTTAAATATTTGGGTTCTTTTATACGTTATATTTCAAGGAATTCTGTTTAGAGTAAAATTGAATCAAGTGAAGGGGATTGTTCTTTTTCCTTTCCTAAAGAAATTTAGTTTGGCTGAATTTTGATGTTTCTGTATGATGGTGGTGGAATATATTAGAGTTTACTACTCATTGCATGAGATCCGATTGTTTCCAAACAAAAGGATTTTTTTATAAAAAAATTTCTTCTTTAGAGAGGATCGAGTATGAGTTTATTATCATTTTCAATTTCTTTTTCAGTTTCATCTTTATGCAGTTGACAAATTTTCAGCTGTTTGAATACCATGGTGCCATTGGTTAAATGCTTAATTGCTCTCTAACTTCATCCAATACGTATACTTGATAGTTATTTTTAAAGCTAAGATCTTGAAAAGCATATTAATTGAGATAATCGTAGCTTTTTCCAGCTGACTTGCTCAATTGGTTATACAAAGAGCTGGGTTTAATTTTCTTTGCATCTAATTTATTTCTCATTTTCTTTCTTTTCAGGCTTTATTTTGCTAAAATTGGATTAGGAAATCCTTCAGAGGACTATTATGTTCAGGTTGATACCGGAAGTGACATTCTATGGGTGAATTGTGCTGGATGTGAAAAGTGCCCCACAAAAAGTGACCTTGGTGTATGTTCCTTTTATAAATTGATATTAATCTTGTAGATTTACTAGATATGTAACTGTTACAAGTGCTGTCTACTATAAAGTTATAATTGTTGTGTTTGTTTTGAATAACTTTTGTCTAGAAAACATTTATCATTCGGTTATTCTGTTGCAGCTAGATTTAAAATTATATGATCCAAAGAGGTCCTCCACTTCAAGGCTTGTTTATTGTGATCAAGATTTTTGTACTTCGACATATGATGGTCCACTCCCTGGTTGCAAGCCCAATCTTCAGTGCCAATATAACGTCATTTATGGTGATGGAAGCTCTACCGCTGGATACTTTGTAAAGGACAACATACAATTGGAGCAAGTGACTGGTAACCTTCAGAGTAAATATGCAAATGGGACTGTTGTTTTCGGGTGAGTTAGAATCCTGATTTTCAGGACAAAATTTAGTTCGTTTCCATTGTTGCTTATGCTCCTTGTTCATGAAAATGTTCCATGTAATAATGATTGGTCTATTAGGAAGCTAAATGTTTAGTAATTCAATTGAGTATAGCCTTGATTTGAGGCTGGCTTTCATTCAGTTTTTACCGAGGAACATTTGTTTGTAACTATCATTTGTTCTACATTTGTCTGTTGTTGTAAATAGATGGGTGATTTCCGTTTGATGCTTAAAGTCATAAATCAAATATTCATAGATTTGCTGAGCACTCTTATCACGGTTTTTTGATCCCAAGTCTTTGGCTGTAATATAATATACCATTGTGCCTGCTGTGATGAAATAGTAATTCTGCTCTTAGGTTAAGGTCTTTCCAGACAAGGTAGCAAATGTGGGATTAATGCATATAGCCCTTGTAAATGGATCTTTCCCCTTGCTTATGTAACCTCTTTAAACAAGACCTATTTTTTGCACTTTCACATTTAGTTACAGAATAACTAATGTATGGTATGTATAATTTTTGATACCTGCATTGCTAGGCATAATTGAGATACTTTTCTTCAGCATATCTTCTTCCTACCTGTTTCTTCTATTTCTTACTGGCTATAGGAATTAGTTATAACAGACATTTTCGTTCCTTAAAATTATGCTTAAGTTTTTTCTGTGGCGTCCATCCTTTTCTTACTCTATTAGTTGTTCAACATGCTGTTGAACCATCCCCCAAAACCGAAAGCAAAAGCAAAAATAAAAGTTGGTGATTCTCTTTAGAGGTATTGATTCGAGATGGGCGCAGTCAGCTGATACGTGTTGGTTGTAGGGGTAGAACATTCAATTTCAAGGAAGCATATTCTGTTGCACTACTGCTGACATGCATTTTTGGTTATTTATGTAGTATATAATTTCTATTTTTTGGTTAGGTGTGGTGCTAGACAATCCGGGGAATTAGGATCATCAAGTGAAGCACTAGATGGGATACTGGGATTCGGACAGGCAAATTCTTCTATAATTTCACAACTAGCTGCTTCTGGGAAAGTAAAAAGAATGTTTGCACACTGTTTGGATAATGATAACGGAGGTGGAATCTTTGCAATTGGTGAAGTGGTATCACCAAAAGTCAAAACAACACCCATGGTTCCAAATCAGTAAGTGATTCATCTTAAATTTCTTAGCTTCTTTCTTTAACCTATGGTTCCTAATTTGCTTTTTTTGGTTCTTTATTCACCCTTTTTCCTGATTTAGTAATATTAGATGTAAGATTGTTTCACTGTTGCTTGGATATAAAACTTAAATGTTGCCTTCTTTATTGAATAATATGGAATGAGCATATATTGCAGTTTATTTTTCCCATAGCTTAATATCTAAATTATAGTCTATTGTCTCCAAGGTGGCATTTCTCATTGAGAAATAGCTGCTGCAAGTTGTTGGCTGTAGTAATTCACTAATTCTTTACATTGACTATTATATTGGATGATAACCTTCATGATTACACTCAAATCCAGGATTTGTTAGATCTCTGTTATATTGCAAATTTGAAAAACCTATCTTGAATCAATCCTCTCATACTCACTCAGATGAACAGGTTACATGGTATCCTTATTTGTTGTCTGCGTTCATTCTCATCTTATGCATGCCAATTTGAATGCAAATTAATCCTATCAACTTCTTGTGTCCCGAATGAAGCAGATGGAAATTAGGAATGGAGCAGTATAAATTTAGTTCATAAAAGTTTTCAAGATGGTGCATCTCATCCTTAAGAAACACTATAAATAACTTTGTTTCTTTCATACTTCAGTAATAAAATATTTCTAGGAGATCATGATTGAAAAATTAAACCATTTTTCCTATGTACTTGAGTTCATACATGGATTGCCTTGCAGTTGAAAACCTTTTTGTCTTAAGATCTTACTCTTTTACATCAATCAGGTTTCTTGGTTTATTAATTCATGAATATACTTTTATTGACAATCTTAGGGCACATTACAATGTTGTAATGAAGGAAATTGAGGTTGGTGATACTCTACTACGACTTCCAAGTGATGTTTTTGATACCGGAGATCAAAAAGGAACAATAGTGGATAGTGGTACAACCTTAGCGTATCTTCCATCTGCAATTTATGAGCCACTAATGGCAGAGGTAAACACTGATGCATGCCTTATGCTGATTTTTGACATTATCTATTACTAATTACATTCTCTCTTCTGTCAATTAGATTCTCTCCCTGCAACCTGCTTTGCAATTGCATTCTGTAGAAGAGCAATTTACTTGTTTTCAGTATATGGAAAAGTAAGACATTTACTGCAATTGTACTCTGGTATATGTCAGGAACACATCATTTTTCTGTGATATGTATAATAGATCCATCTGGTCAGTGTTTGCAATTTTTGATATTCTAAATGTTACATTTCCCCCCAGATTTACTTTGTTTTGAATATTTTTTTTTCTTTAATGTTCTTATACGAAATATAAGTATCTCTTCAATAATACTTTTTTTTATAACTATTTATGCTGATTTTATCCTAATCTTATATCTCATTTTATATACAATTCCAAGCAGAGGTTTAATTCCTTGTATACCCTAATACTAACAATAAAGAACTTGCATTTGACCAAAGGATACAGCTTTAAGAGAAAGAACTATTAAATAGTGAATGTTGTATTGTGTAAGACTGAATTTTCTAAGAGAAAGAAGTTGTGAGATGAAAATACATATGTTCATTGTATTTATTTCTTTATCCAGAATAACTAGAAAGTTTTGTTCTAATTGGAATCCCTACGGACTTGGAGAAGTACTGCAAAATTGTAATCATTGATGATTATAGTTTTCATCCTACTCTTCTCAGTAAGATGTACAACATGTTTGTGACTCGTCAAGAACATGTATTTACTTCACAGTTTCTTGTTTTCTTTCTAAACTGTTGCTCTCTCTTGCTTCTGAGAAATCTAATGAGGAATTTGTAATATATTTTCTTCTTCTTGTGCTTAAACATCAAATTCGTTATTGATAGTCTAGTAGAAAATAGGAAGTGGAAAAGTCTTAATTTATATTTAGTTTGACTTATTTCTTTTTAATTTCTATACTTCAAGGTCAAGTTACATGTGTTGGATGGATCAGAGGCTTTTTCTTTCATTAATTCCTGTGAATTACTTTCTTTGAGATTTGCTGTTTCCTTTTGTTATTTCTTTCCTGTGCTCTTGCAGTGTTGATGATGGGTTTCCGACTGTAAAGTTCCATTTTGAAGGTTCCCTTACTTTAACAATTTATCCCCACGAGTATCTGTTCCAAATTCGTGTAAGTCAAACTTATTTCTTTTTAATTCATTTCATGATCCATGCACTCGTTTCTCGGTTAGATAGATGTTGGTATTTTTGAAGTCTTATATTTCTAATCGAGTTAGGCATTTAACATTTGTGTTTAATGTAGAATACTAGCTATAAGTCCATAGAGCTTCATATTCTGATAAATATCCTCTTCTTTTCTCTGTCCAAAGTAATTTCCCTTGTGTATCCCTAAAGACTGGTTCTTCCAACAAGCTTCCTGATGTGCTGGATCCTGGATTAGGCTTTTCAAGTCCAACCTCAGCCAAAGACATTAATTTTAATTCTGTAAAATATTAAAACTATCAAAATATTAATATAAAATTATATCTTTAATATTTTAATAGTTTTGGGCTTTCGGGGACACCGGGCCAGGCCTGGGGCAAGAGTTTTAAGGTGTTAATCAGGCTGGTCTTGGTCCATGGATGCCTCTACTGACAAAGTAGGTATGGCAAGAATGCTCAAGTATCAGGAGAATTAACTTTTATAAGCTTACCAAAGGAGGTTTCCATTTGTCATAAGATGACGGATGTTCCATTTAGCCTTATGTTCCATGATGTGCTTATAGTCAGCTGTGAAGCTTTGAATGGAGTCTTATTTTTTATGAATACTGTAGTTCCATCATTTTCGTTTCCTCTAGATTCAAACAAATTATCCAGGCTAAAATGTGTGCTCCTTTTGTAATTGTGATTACCATAATCATTTAATTACTAGCTGAGCAGTCAAATGTCATTTTTAGTTAGATATTTTATTTCAATTAAAAAATATATATTTTATCATTGTGGGTGTTTGCATTAAGATATCAATTTATGGCATTTGCAGGAAGATATTTGGTGTTTTGGTTGGCAGAACAGTGGAACACAATCTAAAGATGGCAAAGATATGATTCTCTTGGGAGGTAATGCCCTTAAATTCCTTGTTCTGAACTCATTTGTCATTTTGCTTGCAAAATATGAATCTGCTTTTGTTGTTCTTATGCTAATACTTTTCTCTAATGGTCTGCATTATGCACCGTAAAAGGAATTTTGACATGTACTCTGTAACAATCTTTAACATAACCTCACCTTGAGATTGGCAATTGATTCGGTGGAAAAATAATCCTAACATAATAATTTAATGCAAATCTATTTAAGATGAACAAAAAAGAAAAACTCTAACACCAAGAAACTTGACCCGATTCCAAATGGCTCTAAACCCAAAATCATACTAAAAGGGTCATTAAGTTTCAGAAATCTCAAATGGTGACTAGAAGCAACCTAAAACTGGAATTGTCCTAGATCAAAGAAATCTGAACACGGAATGACCTTAACCTGACCCATATTCGGGATGAATTGCACCTGTTGACAGTCTGACCCAAACCCTCACAAGTTCGACCTCCACATTCCAATTGGTCATATTTCTTCTATAGAAGCTTCTTCATAACTCTATTACTTTCAGAGAGATATAACCTTTGAACTTCTACTTCTGAAGACTCTAAGAAGATGAGTTGTACTTTGCCATAATTCTTTTTTTTTTTCTAAAGTGGCTTATAAGAACCATCTCTAAATCATACAAAACACTTTCCATAATAGAAATAGAACTTTGGTTTTGTGCATATTTGGCATTTTTAATATCCACCTCTTTCAGCATAATATTATTAACATTTCTTCTTAAACCAAAAGCCTATGATGAATGTGAATTTTATTTGTCCCTCATAATGCATCCATGTCACTGGTGGTCAGTGGCATTGATCTTCTTAAAAGAACTGACAAAAAGTACTAGTTCAGTCCCACAATTATTGCAATTTATTTGAGCTAATCTGTTTTTATACTACATTGTGAAGAAGAGAACGATCTAATAATCTAACATGAAAGGTTTTGATACGACTTTCACTTATTTAATTACTTCACAATGCAGACTTGGTGCTTTCAAATAGGTTGGTTGTATATGATGTAGAAAATCAGACCATTGGATGGACTGAATACAATTGTGAGTACCCTATTCAAGAACTTTACCTGTATTTAGGTTGAACTGTTGTTGTTGTTGTCTGCTTATTATTGCTTCATTTTATATGTCCAGAAAATGCTTTGGACTTCCAGGATTGTATCTCCTCTAGTGTCTTTTGGATAGTCTACTTTTGATTTTTGTAGTTAATAATCGTTAATTACTAACAATTGTGCCTTCCGTTCAAAACTTAATATTTTCTATTTTGAGAACTTTCGAAGCCTTATCCTATTTTGTTTTTCTAAATACCAAAAGTACTTTTATTTTCTATGTTTCCTAATAAATTTATGTGATTTTTCAAAAGAAAGAAAGAAAAAAGTTGGCATTTAGACTAATGAAATACCAATATTATTAAAAAAAATACATGAAGTAGTGTTTGGTAACTGAATTTCAAAATAAATGTTTTTGGATCTTAAATTAAATTGTGTTATAAAGCTCTTATAAATATAACTTTTGATTATCTTTAAATTTATGAATTTGTTTTTATCATTATTTAGCTGTTGGTGTATTTACATTTAATTTTCTTATACTCTTTCAAATATATGGGTGGATTGAAACTTAAGTACTTTGTCTATAATGTTTGTAATTTAGATTCTCATTATTTCTGTCAAAATGTGTCAAATTGAAAATGGAAATTCAGTTTTCAGTCCTCATAAGCATGCATAGACTTCCTTATAATTCCTTTCCAACACTAAGTGAGCATTTGAGTTATTTTTCTTCGAGAAAGAACTAGAACAGACGTCATAGCTGGATATTAGCTTCTCTGAAATGATATTATGGTTACTTTTAGGCTCTTCCAGCATCAAGGTGAGGGATGAAAGTTCGGGGGTCGAGTACACTGTCGGTGCCCATGATATTGCTTCAGGTTCCAGTTTGAGAATGGGAGGAATTCTAACATTATTGTCTATAATAATTGCTTTACTGCACAGTTCTATAGCTTGAGATTGCTGGAATCAGTTGTGAAACATTCTTTGATTCTGTTGTACCATAATTCATTTTTGTGTGTGTGAAAATGTGGGTCTTTTTTTCTCTACTCGGATACAGTAGTTAATTAATTTACACAGATACTGTAAATAAATTTGTTTGGAGCATTACAATGTACAATTCCTGAATATAAATCCTATACATGTTTAAGCTTTGCAATTGTTTATGTCATTGATATTGAATGAGGGTACTTCAAGTTAGGATGCAACAGCGTACTTTTTGAATCAATTTGTATCAACACATAAACACTACGACTAAAATAATATAGCTCAACATCTTTTTTTTTTAAATCTGAAAATTGTACATAATTTTGATTTAATGTGATATAAAAGGTGTTTATTCGGTGCAATTGTGCTGCTTCAGACTTGGTTTTTGCTTATCTGTAATTTTTTAATCATGTTTCATGTTTATTGACATATACAAACACAGTGGCGGATTTTGGTGATAAAGTTCGGGGTTAAATTTAAAATTTTAAAAAATTTACAGGTTTAAATTATTTTTTTAAAATTTTAGAAGGTTTATATTACTTTTTTTTTAAGAAATTGGGGTCTAATTATATCTTTTGAATTTTGAGAGGCTTAATAATAAGAATTTTAAAAATTATGGGAGGGTTTAATTATGAACATTTCAAAATTTTAAAGTCCAATTTGAATTTCTAAAATTTTTGAGATGTTCAAATTAAATTATTTTAAAAAATTTAAAGATTTTTAAACTATAATTTTTTAAATTTTAAGGGAGCCATTACCCCCACTAGACTGTCTTATGTTCTGCCAACAATTATTTATATTAATCTGTAAGTGTATATAACTGAAACATTTCTAATTGAAATAAATAAATAATCATTTCTAAATCTACAATGGGAAAACTACACGTTTAGTACCTATACTATTAGTTTTAGTCCGTTTTAATATATAAACTTTCAATTTTTTCAAAATCATGCCTAACGTTTAGTTTTTTTTCATTTTAGTACCCCTGTCATTAAAAATTTAACGTGTTTAGTACTTAAACTATCAATTTTGCTCCGCATTAGTACCTAAACTTTCATTTTTTTTCAAAACTTAACATTAAGTTTTTAATGGGACACTAAAATGAACAAAAACTAAATGTTAGGTATAGTTTTGAAAAAATTGAAAGTTAGGTACTAAAACGGAACCAAAACTGATAGTTTAGGTACTAAACACGTAGTTTACCCATCTGCAATTACACCAAATCAGTTTATTATCCATTGCACAATCAATGAAAATTTGTATAAATTTAGGAGTGGTGTAATGGCTAAATATTGCAACTATTAGATTTAGTTTGAAAAAATAGTAACAATCCCTTCATGATGAGGGTGAGAGGAGTCAAATTAATTATCTTGAGCAAGAAGAAGTTATTTTTCAAGGTTGGAACACCAATAGATTTGTGTCGATTTTTTTGACTAAGATCAAATATTTTTAGGCTGATATGTCTGCTTTTAATAACATCAGCTGTCTCTTGGTTTTCCAACACATCTTCGAACATGCCAATTCGATGTCGGAGCTCAAGATACTTTCAATTTAATGAAGACAAGGATGTAAAAATTCTTAAATGAGGTTAATACGTGATTTGTAATAATTATGAGATTTATTATTTATTTAGTTTATTAAGTGATTTAGATGAAATAAGTTATTATTTATTATTTTTATATTATCAATCTTTTAGATTAAATGAAAGATAATATTATACAAATTATCTCTAGGTAAAATTTAAGATTTTTCTAACATATAAGTAGGCTCACATCTTTTATGTTTGAACACACATTTCTTTGATTACCAGTAATATTTAATATTCTTTTGAGGAAAAATTCTAGAATGAATGTCAAACATTGATATCTACAACTAATTTTATATGGTAAAATTCATAAATGGACATTAAATTATATTAAAATGATTTTTTAGATACAAAAACTTTTAAAATGTATATAATTCAGATTAAACTTTAGATTTTGTTACAAAATGGACACAACTCCATTATCTATCATTAAAGATGTGATGTGGAATGATAAATTAATAGAATATATCTCACTTGACCCTTTAATTGTAACTAAAATTTCATTTCACTATTAGTTTTATTGTAACAAAATGGATATAAATAAATTAAATATTATTTTTAGTGTCATATTATAAATATTGAATTTATACCATATAAATTACTTGATACATTATTAAAAGTTAAGGATTGTTTCAATTATTTTTATATAAGCTTGGATTTATTTTTCTTATTAATGTGATACTATAATTTTTTGAATGTATTTTTTTAAAAATTGTGTTTAAACTTCTTAAACAAAACTCAAGTAATCACATCTTTTAATAAAAAATAATAACATTGTTAGATAATTCAATTTTTTGGATCTCGAAAATTTAAATTTTTTAATTTTACAAATACATAACAATTAATAAATAATTAGTTATAAAATAATTTTATGAATGAAAAAATTTCAAAAAATTATAAGTTTTTTATTTTAAAAATAAATTGTTTTCATGCATTTAAAAAAAACTATTTTTCTATATTTTTTAAATTATTACTTAAAAATATTGAAAAATATCAAAAATGAAATTTTAGTTAAAATTGAAGGGCCTAATAAGATATTGTTTTATTAATTTAGCATGACACATCACCCCTTAACAATATTTCACGATCACTATATATTTTTTAATAAAATCAGAATTTTAATGTATATTTTATAATTTTTAAAAATTATATGACAAATGAAATCATTTTAATAAATTTAATGACCATTTATATATTTTACTATATTTTTATATTAGTGGTGCACATCAATGTACAATATTAATGATGCACATCAGTGCGTGTCATTTAGTCTAGACTCATCCTCTTTGGAGTACTTTCTTTTCATATTTTAGATGTTTTTTTTTGGATTACTATACTTTCTTTTCAACACATTTTTGTTTTAAAGTCGTGGTAAATTGGAGCCGTATTTGTGGGAAGATTAGAACCGTTGAAAGAGTTTGATAAATCAATTGAGATTTAGAGGGTTCATAAGGCAAACTACTTCATTCAACAATCTACACACCACCTTTATCGACCAACAAGTTCCATACGTCACCTTCATCTATTCAACCTTGTTGCTATCATCTTTAATCTTATTCATCAAAATTTCACATATTGTCTTCAATCTTCTTCTCAACTTGGATCATCAATCATGTTTCGTTTCTTATTGTTTTCGTATCACTTAAAGAAAGAAAAGGAGTAAATCTATTACACCATTCAATTTGGATTAAATGATATTTTTTTTGTGAAGTTTTATATTATTATTCGGATAGACTATATAAAAGGTCACTTAAGTTTTAGTAAATTTTTCTTTTTCCTACTGATGTTTTAAATGTAACAATTTGATCACCAACGTTATCGATTTATAACAAATCAGACCCTCTACCATTAACAACTATTACTGGAATAATAGAATGCTAATGTAACAACTATTACTGGAATAATAGAATGCTAATGTGGCACGTTGAGGCTGAACCGGTACTGTTTGGCATCATGGTATAATAATTTTGATCGGCGTTTGACTCTTCTTTAAAAAGAACCTCCCGTCCTTAAGGAGACCCTAATGTATCTATTTTAAAATTAAATCTTCTTTTACAATTATGAAGAAGAATTTCTCAGAAAAATTTCTTCACGTGATGATAAAAGCAACGATGATGATACAATATATATATACAAACACAAAATAAGCATACAAAACATTAATAAATAAAAAATCATTTTTATCTAGACTATTTTTAAAACATGGTTGGTAAATTCACAAACAATATATCTCCTACACATCAAGAAGGTGAGGAAGCTCGATGGGCTTATGAGCCTTCCCTCCTCAAAGCCAAAAAAGATTTTAATAATAATGTTGGGACCATATAATTTTATTAATTTAAAGAAGTATTAATTAATTGATAAATTAATAAATTATTAATTTAAAGAGATATTTTTCGATTCAACAAACCTACATTATTCTTCATGACATGAATTCATTGAGTGCATTTGCAACCAAAACTGAAGATGATACAATGTCGTTGCAATCAATTACGCGGAATGAAGCACTCGTATTGACAATAACTCTTCAATTTTTTTTTGCTGCAGTATGAGAACGCAACACCAGAAATTTTGAATGCATTAAGGAAAGTTAGAGATGAAATACAACTAGCTTTAAATTTTAAGAAGAAGCAAACAACAATTGAGGTTATTATTATCTTATTAATTTATCGAAAATTTTAATTTAGCTTTGGGCCTAAGTCAGGACCGAGAAAAAAATGTTATTTTAGAGAGGTTATTAATTATCGAATATTAAATTATAGACGTTATAATGTATATGTTCCTAACAAGCGAAAAAAAGGTTAATCATATAATGTCAAAGTTTATGCTAATGATTAAAATTAACCGAAGTAGGCAAATTTAAAATGATGAAACTAATTAAACTTGCTTAATCATGGAATAGGACATGCCAACGGTTTTGGACAGAAAAAAGTGTGTAAATACCCTTTTTTTTCCCATAGCAACATAAAGTTTTATTAAAGATATGGACACTGTCCACTATTCAGATCAGAACAACAAAATAGTTCATAAGAATCTCAGCACAGTCAAACCCCTATAAAATACCCACCCAACATAAGAGGCGATGCACAATCATAAAAATTGAATGAAAATGACAGATTTTCTCCTATTACAAAATACTCATGGCTTCACCAACACGCTTTCAACATTACCTTTTTCCTCCTCCATCCTTACCAGGAATATCTGCCATATAATTGCACTACCGAGGCGCAAAATTGTGCAGCTTTGGCAAAAGACCAACATTTGTTCCTTTTTCTTCAACCTTCCTTATGGTTAAGGCCTTCCTTGAGAGTAGTTCTAGTTTCATAACTAGTGATTCCAAAAGGGGCATCATTGTTGGGAAAAATAGTTGCTTACAGAGAGGAAATATTATTGCATGGAATTCCTGATTCAAACACTATTCAGAGTCACCTACAAGGATCTGAGATGGGTAAATTATGGTTTCCTTAGAGATTGGGGCCCTCTTTAAAGGAGAGTCAAACGCTGATCAAAATTGTTTTCCCATGTGGCCAAAC